GTTGTCGTATCCTCCATTTGCAAGTAATTCATTACATGGTTTTCCGATGGAGTTCGGGGCTTCCTCGTAGGATAAAGGGATTTCTTGACGGGTTCTGTTATGTATGGGTTTGGGTGTTATGCCGGTTCGACATCAGGGTTCTGGTATAAGGTTTCGTGTGGGCGTTAACGCTTCAGGTGAACCCCGGACTCTTCTTTTCTGTGCGCGCTCTTAAATTAATTAGCATCCCCCATGATAATCCTTGCTAGGGGAAGGGGGTCTAATAACCAGTGGTCTACAATACGGAAGGGCTTTGGTGCAGAATATCAAAATAAACTATGTATATCGGGGATGTGGATATGGCACGACCCAGTCCCTAAATCCTAGATGAGAGATGGGCTTGCTAGGGTCGTTGTAGCCAGTCTTTGGACAGTTCTCGTCACCACAGCCCGCAGGGTTTCGATGCCCCTGAATCTGCACCCAATACTCTATAAACCCAAAACCCTAACACCCAATAGTTTGGTTATAGTTTGGGGGCGGTAGTTTGAAACCCGACCCCATGCCCCAAAACCGAACCCGGAGATTCGCGCGCTCTTCCGTCGTGGGGCTAAACTCAGCCTTCTGTGGCTCAGGGTGTTCTTCTCTCTACTCTTCACAGGCAAAGTTGAGGGTTCATAGAGGTTGGTTACCCCGAAACCCTTGCGAACCCAAATCGCCTGCGCAGAGAGATCCTCGAATTCGAACGGCCCAGGGCCGCTACGGTGAATTAAGCTTTTTGTAAGGGTCCATGCACTCATATAGTATATACATTGGCCTTAATGTAGTCCCTATATAGGTACTTTGGGGCTCATGTATCTCTATATGGGTACATGGACCCTTAGGGCTCTTGAATAGGGTCCATGCATCAGGCTTCCCCCCCTCGAACTCAGAAGATGGGGAAGGCTCTGATTTCGGGTGGTGCTGGGTCGGGACTCGAAACTGAAAATCCCTAAAACCCTAAAGCCTAAACCCTAAACCCGAAACCCTACACCTTAAACCCCAAACCCTAAAACCCTAAACCCGAAACCCTAAACACTTGGGGTTTCGGCTACATGTCAGGCTTTGTTGTTTGGGCTTTGGTCTGCTGACGCGATTCACGCCATAGGCCACTACACTTTAAGCCTAAAGAACCCGACCTCCGGTGCTCGATTTAATTTCAGACCAGAGAAAACGGATGGACTTGGGTATACCTGTTCATTAAGGGATCCTTTGGAGCGGCCAGTAGGGTTCCAAACGAACTTAGGGTATGAGGACTTGACTCAAGGCCTATGAAGTTTTCATATAGAGTTTTACTATACATGTTCGATGAGAGGTTCATATAGAGCTTAAGAACCCCAACAGGCCTTTGTGTTCTACTGATGCATGGGTCCTGCCACTACAGACCTCTTGCAAATGCCTCTCAGACTCATCACCGACTCCCTGGGCTTTGAAAGGGATCATGGGTCGATAAGGGCATTAAGAGGAATAATAGTGTGTCATAAGGGTTCTGTACCTGTGTAGGGAGTATAAAGCGATACTAATATTGTGCACTTTCAGACTAGGGTGTTACAAGGGTTCCGTGCAGGGTTGTACAAGGGTTTTAGAGGGCTTTGCGGTAGGAGCAACGGGGTCTGGGTGCATGGCACAGTCTACAATATACCTGTATAGGGCGTATAAGGCGACACTATATGTTTTGCTATACATTCAGCCCCGGCTATTCGCTTCATAGGTGAAAGAGTGCATGCAAGACAAAGCGTATGACGATTATCGGAATGATCCAATGTAATTAGTTGCTTCTCCGTAGGCATGCAAAGAGAAACAAACCCGGAGCCCACCGACGCACTCCACCGTGTATACTGCTACCGTTGTTGGGTTAGCTGGCTGTTTGCTGCCTGTGTGCTGTCAATCTTTCTTGAGCCCTCAACCCCAAAGCCCCAAAACCCTTAAACTCCGAAAGCCCTAGTGCATACTATCCAAAACCCCTCGCCCCCTCAAGCCGAAAGCCTTGAACCATAAACCCTAAACTCGAAACCCTACACCCGCAATCCCGTCGACTGCAGTAACCACCCTTTTCCGCGCCTCGCCCGAGTCTAGGATTCTCGACTCAGCGGCGCAGCACTCGCTCTGAGGCCTCGCCACTAGAAAACACAGGGCGAAGCAGGAAGTCCCTCAAACCCATCAGGAAACGACTGGTTTTCAATCTTTAGGGTTTAGGGGTACTCATGGCACCTTGGGTTCACATTGCAACTTATACGGTGTGAGGGTTTTGCTGAATGCCTTCTCTTGCCCTCGCAGGCGGCATCAAGTTTAAAGTGTGGGGGCGTAGGAGTTTGGGATTATCGGGTTTTGAGACTCCAGTATGGCGTTTTTGGAGCCTCAGGATTTTCTGTTTTTAGCGTACCTGTAGGTTCAACTGTCATTCACGGTTTGGGATGCCTGGCTTCTTCATTTATTAATGAAGGTCCTACCGATAGAACAGGGTTGCCGAAGAAGGCAATAACTACAATGACGGGTACAGGTCATAGCTCGCTGTGAAGCTCCCTTTGAACTTGTATGAATGAACTCCATACCCTCAGGCTCCAGGGGGCCCAACAATCAGGTACTTGGGTCTGGGGTAGCAGCTTAGGTTAGTATGTGGGAGACTATCTGATTCCACCTTATAGTACAGTAGGTTGTGGTAGCTTCGAGCAGTGCCTAGATGGTTATTCAAGGCACATGTTGTCGAAGGAAACTGATTCCCGCTGAGCAACATTACAATGCATGCTTAGGGTTTAGGGCCTTTGCGGCTTGGGGTTCTCCACTCCTGAAAGCAACTCAACTCACTCAAGTGGCACGGCTACCCGACACTGTAATCCTATGCTGATAACCCCAAAATGCCCAAAGGCCCCCGAAGGGTCCGGTACCTCGGAATCATGCCGTAGGGTAGGGACTACACATGAAACCCAGGTTTCTGGGCTTCAGAAGATCAGCTACCAAAACTGGCGAAGATTCCGCGGGAAGCTACTTCAGGCCTCTGCGTGTGACCTGGACGCATATCGGCGCCCTGCACGCCGCTTCTCCAACAACCTTTGGGTGGTTGTCAAAATTAGGGTCCCCTTTTGTAAGGTGCTGTGCTATAATCAGGACGCAACAAAGGACCCTAATTTTGACAACCAGCCCTTTCCAGCTTGCATACCACATTTCGGATGGCAGGCTGTTGTGTAATTTTGCCGCCTTGCTACATCGTCAAACCCCAAGAGGGGACCACCAAACCCTCCCAATCCCTAAATCCCCGAAACCTAAACAGCTCTAGAATTCTAGAAGTTTGAAGGTCAGTAGCCACACGCCATGCTGACTTGGGAAAGCCTCTGCTGCACCACTTGTGTATCTTTGTGTCGTGTCTTGTTGCTTCGTTCCATGCATTATCCTGAGGCCTTCATACACTTGGTTGCCCTAAGGGTCCACGTAGCCAAGTATACTATATACTTCGGCCTCAAAGTACTCCCTATATATAGGTACATTGGGACCAAAGTCTATACAATTTGGGTAATGTAGGAACCTGATTAAGAAACCTTGGGCCCGTAACCCCAAAACAGTAGCGTTCATGTAAGGAACCCTAATAAAGGCCCAAGGTGCCTTAATCAGGTTCCTACATTACGTGGATCCTTGGGGTTGATGTGAAGACATTGGCCCCGGCGACGCCCTGAATCTCTTAAAACCCGCGATTTACTCAGCCTCCTTCTGAGCCCGATTAACATAAGATGCTGTAGCAAGATGTTCTTCGAGGCGGGATTTCTGCAGTCTGCATGCTAGACCCGAACTTTTTCCAACATCACCGACATGCCATGCCTGCCCGAAACGTCCGGGATCCCTTCAATAAAGAAAAGATAGTTCTTGCCGAAAGCCTCAGCCCTGAAGCCAGATTCAAAACTCCAGACAAGCCCTAAACACCCAATCCCAACTCAAAAGCCCGAAATCCATCACCATAGCTCCCCGCCCCCTAAACCCTAAACGCTACAAGCCCTAAAGCTGGGAAACCCGGAACCAAAACCAAAGTTCTACAAACCCTGAACCCTACTACCTCTTCCCCGAGCTCTAAGCATCAAACCAGGCTTCCTTCATTCAGAAAGCCTCGGCCCTAAACCCTTAAAATCGAAATCTTGAAGTCTACCTCAGAATAATTGACACAACACACATGGAATAGCACAATAGAACAGTTTATTCTCGCGAACATTTTCATTATTGCTTATGTTATGGGTCTAAGGTTTGGCTGTTTAGCTTGAAGCCTCATGTTCCAACTTTCTCGTTTCTGTATGATTAATATCCTTTGTACCCTCATGCTGGGGTCTCAACCCAACGCGAAAAAAAACAATTTGGGGTTTCGTGCATGTGGTACGGGGGACTCAATAGTTGGAACATGTTGTTGGGCATAGTTTCATCCGGGTTTCGGAGTTAATTAGGTTCAGGGCTTGAGGGTTTCGAATGGTGTAGGGTAGAACGGTGCTTCTTGCAGCACAAGGACTGGAGCTTTCCCCCGCTCAAGTTGTAGAAAGCCATGGTCCTGCATCTGGAGGTCTTTCCGGTCCCCAGAGGGTCCGTATTCACTACTATGGTTACTATGGTTTCGGGTTTAGGGAAGACCCGGGTTTAGGGCTTGGTGGGCATTAGGTCCCTAAAACCATCATAGGGATGGCCTTTTAGGGCCTGATGTGCCATAATGGTAATATATGTGGACTCTGTGGTCCTTATAAAGCACGACTTGGGTATACCGGCCCCTTATTCGACAGAAGCATTGGAGCCAGCTTGGGGTTTGAGAGGGGTCTTGAAGCAGTTTTCTATTTGAGGAGCCGACGCAGATTTCTTCTAAGAAGTCCTGGCAAACAGGAGGGGGACTTACTTTATATGGCACGTCGAAGTCTTGATGCAAAGCAAGATGGCTTGCAGCCGCACTTCACTGAAGCTTCGGTTTGCTCTGCTAACCATGCAGCGGTGTCCGACTGGACCACCATGGCAGCATGGAGCTTCTATCTGTAGTGTGCCGCATCGAACCCAGAGAAACTGAGCCGGTAATCGTTCAACATAATGGACAAGGCGGACAAGGGAATGGAGGTGTCGCTGAAGAGTAGCGACCACGCCACTTTCCCAACTTTGATCAGCACGGGCTCCTCATCCCTGTACAGGATGAAAAGATGGACCACGCCCAATCTGCTAGAGCCTCCTGTCTCAGTCGACAAGCCAGGCACTTTGAGCAGTTGCCTAGACCGAGTCTGGAGGTGTTGGTCTTGCCGCGGTACCCGACCAGCTCCTCCAGGCTCGCACGCAGGTCGCCCCAGGTGTGGATGCAGGTGCTATCCAAGCTCTCTATGGGCTTCCAGCGGCTAGCGGAAAGCCTCATGCAGAGGAGCTCGTAGTCGTTGGTGCCGGCGAGCTCCACTGCGGTCTGCGGCGTCCGGAGGCCCTCAGTTCAGATCACATACACTCACTTGACGCCCACGCTCCGCGGTGAAGCTTCGGCGGTAAAGGAGCCAGATGCTTAAGCACTTTCGTGTTTTTTTGCCTGGCCTAGGAGCATGCTTGCTGTCGCCAAACCCCTAAGCCCTAAGTCCCCAAACCCTAAAAACCCTTCCTTTTGAAGTCTAGGGTTATTTGAGCCTGTGTCGATGAAGGTCCTCGATCAGCAAAACCGCATGAATTGAACCTCTCCTGTGCATAGCGAGCTCTAACGGTTCAAGTACTTGAAAGTCATCCACTCATCCTGAAACCCCACAACCCTAAATGCTAGCCAACGTTGCTACCGTCCAAAATGCAAGCACCTTATAACTCGGTCCTCTGGGCCCTTAGGGCGACTACAGTACCATGTTTATAGGCTTAGGGAGGCTTCCAACGAAACAGGGTTTCAAGGTATATCATGGTATAACTACAGTAAGGAACCTTTTGGAAAAAAAGGCTGGTATTACGGCTCCCATATAACTTCTGAAGCAGAATCAGTCTGATGTTGCTCGAGATCAAATCAATATTCGAAAACCCTGAAGAAGACATACCTTAACCACCCTTACCCCAACCGTCTTTGTTTGCAGGGCCCCAAAACGAGCCCTAACTATCAACAGCCTCATCCAAACGGTTCCCCGTCCTCTCGTCTGCCATGAAGCCCACACGCGCCTGCTGCTAAGGATGTCACAAGCTTCCGCCTAGACACTCCAACACACCCTGAGTGTATGTATATTGTACCCATGTATATATATATATATATACATATACACATACATACATACATACATACATATATACATACACACACACACATAGATATAGACATAGTGACATAGTACATACTTTGGCCCTAAAGTACCAACATAGGGTGTACTTTAAGGCCAAAGTAGCTACTGTATGAACACATAGACATCAGGGCAGTACTTATACTTTGAGTGCAGCATCAGCACTTCGCAAAAATCTGAACCTAGAAGGCTACAGCAAAGGAAGCATAAACCTCTGCAAGGCCTTCATAGGGTTAAGGGCTTCGGGGCTTAGGGTCATGAAGGTGGATTCCTCAAACCGTCCGGACCCTCAAATTAAACCTAAAGCCCCAAATGCCCAAACCCGAATGAACCCCTAAGCCATAAAAACAGTAAAAGCAAAGCCCACAATTCCGAACCTGTTACAAAACTCTACAACTCCCTGAAAAGACACCATCGAGCCGAATAATACCCTGTCAAAACCCCTAATCTTCGGACCTGCATACCAATAGGACCCCACTCAAAACTCGCACTGCCGAGTGTTTAGGCTACTATACTAGAGAGCTTGTATGAAAGTTCACCGTTCCAAGCCTCACGGAGCCGCATCTTGGGGATCGGAATGCGGATCCCTGGACAACTCTGGGATTTAGGCCTTACCTTAAGGCTCCAGAGTAGTTCCTTTTTGGGCTTCATATGTAGAAACCTATAAGGTACTCCCAAAAAGGAACTACTATGGAGCCTTAGGGTGTGCAAGGCTATTGGTTTACGGGTCTTGGTTTGAAGTCTTCAATGTCTTCTCTGGACGCCAATTTTATTTAGTCCTGGTTCGATCTCTGTCGGGCGTGCGAATTTGGGGAGCCAGAATCAGCAGTAGATGACTTCATGGTTGGGGTACATGTTTGAGGGCACAGGTCGTTGCTTGAGGATTGCGTTTGATAGGACGTCGAGGCATCCGGGCTTCAAGAGGGAAGAGTTCCAGGGCAGCAGCGTAACTTGACACACATCCCAAGTTTGAACCCCCAGATGCCTCGTAAAATCTACTCCAAGCCTTGAACAAACTCGCCGATGATTGCTTCGCCCGCGAAACATGAGAGGATGCCGGCCTATGTCCGCAAGCTTCTTCTTGACGGAAGCGATGGTGTGGCTCAACAGAAGCGACAAGCGGATGTAAGAGACCTTGTGATGGGAGGCCAAAAGGGGGGAGTTGAAGATTCTTGGGGAATGGATTCCTTAATATGAACCCTATTATTACGTATGGGAACCCTAAATCCCACTAAACCCCCACAGTCTACAACCCCTTTTGGCCTCTTATGACCTTGGCAACGTTCCGGGTGGGGCTGGGGGGCTGTTAGGAGCGGTAAATCCTTGCCCTTAACCACTCGCGGGTTCGGTTCAGGCAGTTTGTTCTCGGCCGCGCCTGTGGCATGATGCAATGACCGGCAAAAAGCTTAAACCCGAAACCGAACAGCCCTGAACCCTAAACCCTGAACCCTAAACCCTAAATCCTGAACCCTAAACCTAAACCCTGAAATGACTCCCAGTTTCAATACAGTGCAGTTCGGCCGGTGAGATGAAAACAGCTCGTGGTGCAATATGGAAAATCTAAACCCTAAACCCCAAGATGGGTGGTTGTCAAAATTATGGTCCCTTTTTGGGTCCCTATTTTCATACGGCACCTATTATTTAGGGTACCCAAAAGAGGACCCTAATTTTGACAACATCCAGATCTGAAGTGCAAGATGCTTTTGCTCGACGTGGAAGCTACGGACAGCACTGGAATACCCCAGGCTACCACGGAAAGCTAAGGCAATGCGAACGAACCTAACGATACCAGGAAAGCCTAAGACCAAACGCAGAAGCCCAGAGATTCTCTGCAGCCGCCGGCCGAACGAGAACCACAAACTGTCTAATTGCGAACAACTGGCACATCCATCGGTTAACTTCACAGGCCGAGTTTGGGTCAACAGGAAAGTTGAATCGTGAACTCGAGCTGGCAGACTTCCAACCCGCTCTGGTATAATGTAGGAACCTGATTAAGAAACCTTGGGCGTTTATTAGGGTTCCTTATATGAACCCTACTATTTTGGGGGTTACAGGTCCAGGGTTTCTTAATCAGGTTCCTACATTAGGTGCCATAATTCAGACAGGGCTTGGGCCAAGTTGAATGTAGCTAAATGGGAGATGCGGAATATTAGGGGTACCTTATTTGGGGGTTCTTATAATAAGGGTCCTACCATTTAGGGTACTATATTAGGGTCTCCTTTTTGCGGAAACCCACAAATTCTATTGGTGTATAAGAACGTGTGGTATTGGTAGTCAGGCAGGGTTTGGGGTAGCGAGCCCGTGAACAGCAACTAGACTCACCAGACCCGAACCCTGACTTCGGCGTCTTGAGGACGAGGATGTCTGAATTCGGGTGTTACAGTAGAAGCCAGAAAGTTGGAATATCAGTATCGTAACCCCTTTAAGGTAAATTATAGGGGATCCTACCATTATTCCATATTCCAACTTTCTGGAGTTCCCTTTAATGTTTTTGACTGAGGCCACTTGTTTTTGTGTTTTTGGGCCAGTGCCGCGTAAACGGTAAATGTCGCAAACCGTGAAATCCGAAACAGACCTTTGGGTTTAGGCTCAGGGTTTAGGGTTTAGAGTTTAATGGTTTAGGGTCCGCGGGACCTGATAACAAAGTGTGGCAATACTGAGTTCTATGATTCTAAATTCTCGAGTCTCGAACATCCTGTTAGAATACGTCTCAGAAATACATCTCTTCATGTAGCCCTAACTGCATGAGCTTTTCTGATCAGAGCCCACGTCTGGAAACCCAAGGACGGACTCTACCTACATTACCGTAAACCCTGAATCCATATTCAGACTCGCATTGAAACCTGTGCTGACAGTGTTCCCGGGCCCCCGAAGCCTAAACCCTGCTGGGGGCTGCCGACTTGAACTTTCTCATCAGCAGGGACACCAATGATGAACTGCACGAGCACGTCAGCTTGCTTGCGTAATACAGATTTGGGGTTCTAGCGGTCGGATAGATACTGTTTCCTCTTCTGCTTCGATATTTCAACGCGAGGGGTTTAAGCATTTGAGATTCAATTTCTAGGCTTTTAAATTGGTCAGAGTTCTAGCTTTGCAGGGCATCCAGGGTTTGTTCATCTTCCGACTTCGGGCATTTGACCTTGCTGAAAGTGGCAGCCGCAGCAGCGTCAAGCAATCCCCTCATAATACCGCGGGATGGGGTTTGTTAAGGGTTCACCTAGACCCCCCCCCCCCCAACTACCTACTTTTTTCCAAGAAGCATTCACTATTAAGGACCATGGCGGTGCCAGCCTCCAACGCATCTGGGAAGCGTTCGAGCCACTCTGCCTCTGGGACCTTGGGTCTTGTTCAAGAGTTCTGGTATTCGGGCTTCTGGTGTAGGCGTTGGGGAATTTCATGGTCAATATGGAAGCCTGAGTAATACTACCGTATTATGTAGGGTCATCATTAAAAATTGTTGTATAATACCAATTGGTAGCATTATGTAGGGTCATTCTAAAAATTGTTGTATCGTATAACCCACACTCATTTGTCTAAATCATGAAGGCGCCCATGTCCAACCCAGCCCTGTCCCGTGTAGATCTTCCACAATTCGGGTAGCTATTATATATATATATATATATGTACATAACAGATCCTGAAGAAAACTAGGTATCCTAGAATACAGGGTATGTAGGCGGTTCTGGTTTGGGATTAGGGTTCAGGGTTTAGGGTTTAGGGTTTACCGGCCACTGCATGCACCAGATCTCTCTGCACTCTGCATCGGGCTTCCCACATGAACCGTCCAGACACTAGCCGCCGCGCCCAGCCTTGACACGATCTTGTAGATGCGAAGCCCAACTCCCAAGCACACAAGTCTAAATCCGATGCTACAGTGAACGTCCTGTATAAGAACCCACCGTTTAAGAACCTTAGCCCTACCACCGGCGGTATAGCTTCCAGGGGTTGGTATAAACAGCAATCGTATACTCCCTCATGTATTGATCTGCAAATTCACCAGTGTCCTAAACCCCAAACCTGATTACCTGATTAAGTTGAACCCTGGCACGAGAAGGGCTACATTGCAATAACCAGAAGTCACGACCAAACAATTAGCGGCGAGCTACTCTCAATATTAGGCCATAAGCAAACAAAAGACCTTAAGATCTGTATAAGAGCAATAAGAAATGATCGCCATCTCGCACCTAAACCCCTGAACCCTAAACCCCTAAATCCCAAAAACCCTAAAAACCCTAAACCCTCAACCCGCAAATCCCTCAACCCCAAATCCCGAAACCCCCAAGGCCTCTCTATGACTCAGGAATTGACGAGATCGATTGGACGAACTTGCGGCCGAGCAATGGAGAGAAGATGGTCCTGCGGTTCCGTTTCGGCTTTAGGGCTTTATAGGCGGTTTTGGGTTGTTGGTGTTGGGTTTAGGGTTTTGGGTTTAGGGTTGCCAGTGGGGAAGCAACAACAACGGCCAGCGTCTTCGGCGGAACACAGCCCGTCATCGCTCTTTCGATGTTAAGGGTTTAGTGCAGCTGAGAGTTTAGGATCCGGATTGGTTCCGTTTCGGCTTTAGAGCTTTATAGGGTTTATTGGCGGTTTTGAGTTTTTGTTTTTGGGGTGGGGGGCTTTAGAGCTTTGAGGCCTAAGGATTTTAGAGGGCTTTTAGGCTTTGGGGTTTGGGATGTTAGGGTCTTGAAGCTTTCAGGGTTTTAGGATATTGGGTCTTTTGGCAATTAGGGTTTGAGAGCTTTACGTATTAAGGGCTTGAAGGCTTTTAGGGCTTCAGGTCTTTAGGGTTTTGCTATTTTCAGGGCTTTAACTTAGGACCTACAGGGGTTAAACGCTTGGGGCTTGGGGCTTTAGCTCAGGGGCCCCTAACCTTCGTAAGGATCTGATCATCCTGGTGGGGGCCTTCCTAGCACCCGCCATCCTGAATGAGCCGGAATCCATAGCCACCGAAAGCCGCAAGGCCCTAAACCAGCGCCCACAACTCCAAACCCGGCAACACGTACCTCCCAACCCCAAACCCAACATGAACGTTGCACCTCCGAAAGAACCATACAACGCCATCCAACTAGCTAAAGACCTGTATAAACCCAAGAAGACCCCTTAAGAGTCCCACAAGAAAAAAACTTCAAATCCTTGATCTTGAACCATCAAACAAAAATCTTAAATCCTAAACTCTCCCTAAAGCACCCCATCAGCCCTATACCCTAAACCCTGTAAGAAACCTAAGACCAAATCCAAAGATGTCCTTCCAGGGATCGACAGCTCCAATCCCTTTCTCATCGAGGGCACCCCTCCTTCACAAGTTTTTGAGGGTGTAGGGTTTAGGGTTTGGGGTTTAGGGTTGGGGGGTTGGAGTTTAGGGTTTTCGGGCTTGACACTAAGGGCGTTTATGTTTGTTTAGGGAATCGAAGGCGCCGAGGGCTTTTCGTTGAGAATTCTACACTCCTGGAAGGCCTTTACACGGGGTTCTATCATAGGGACCCTTAGGCGGGCAGGTCGAGGCTTCCCAATAATGGATTTTCCCATTGAGGGTTCCAGATTATAAGTTCTCTATCAGGGATTTAGGCTTAGCTATGTGGAATTAAGGAGCCGGGTCGCTTCGGAACTATGGGGTCTAAGGCATAGGGTGTCCACAGATTTTGGAGTGGACCCTGAATTATTGAAAATACGGGGTACCTCATTTTGGGATGCTTGTAATAAGGATCCTACCATTTCGGGTAGTATATTCTAGGGATCCCTAATTTTTCAAAAACCCTCCAGTCGACCCCCCACCCCCCCCCGAGCCCTAAAGCGGCTGCTGACTCCTGGCTTTATCACAAGCCGAGACGAAGTAGCCAGATTTCGACCGGGCATTCCTGGGCTCAACGAAGTGACGGCAGAGAGCGGTTTAGGGTTTATAGGGTTTAGTTGTCTATATACAGATATACACATACATAGATGCGCTTTGTGTGAACTATTCCATGTTTGATGATGGAGAGGTACATCTAGGGGTCAGAATGATCTACTCGATGTTTACAGGATCCAGGCTCAGGCTCACAGCTGTCCCGGTATGGTCCAACGAGTGCGGTTGTCCATGGCACATGCAAAACTGAGAGTAGGTTACCTGATGTGGACATGCATACTGTGTCTGCATGGCAAGCACGGTTACCTCTACATATGCTCATGGCGTGACATGTGCGTATACATATGTATATACAGGCACACACACATACATGTGTGTATACACATACACACATATATATATATATATATGTATAGTATATATGTATATATATATACACACACATACACAGGTACACATATATATATATATATATATATACATATACATATATATATATATATATATATATATACACACACCGACACACGCACAGCGCACACAGATATGTACTTACATGCCGGCTTACCTACCTGCGTGCCTGCTTACCTACATATATGCCCACCCATGTACATATCTGCCTGATTATATACATGGACACGCACCCACACAAACACACACACACACACACAGACACACACACACACACACACGTTCTGGAATAGTACTGACATGCTGGCCAAAGGTCTATCTTCTTAGAGCACCTGCAAAACCGGCTTTCGCAAGTAGGCCAGGAAATCTTGAACAGAATGTGTGCGAAAGGCATAGCTCCGAAGAATACCTCAGACGTCCACAGCCATAAGTATATACATATAATATATATATATATATATATATATATATCTATATCTATCTATCTATATATATATATACATATATATATATATATATTAATATATTAACACGCAAAAACATTTGGTGAGCTATCCTAAGATAGCTCACTATATGTTTTCTTTTGCGCTTTGATGCTCATTCTCCTGCATCCCCCAAGTCAAGACCGATATCTGGATCGGTCCTGACCTTCAGAGTGGTCTTAAACATAACTACACCCTAAATAACCCCTCAATCCCAAGCATTCGAGGCCCTTAGCACTTGGAGCTTCTGACCACCAAAAAGGAAAACAAGTGGAGCTAAAGCGTACACTCTAACGGTTTAGGGTTTAGGGTTTAGGGCCTCTATACCAGTCATACAACGCGAGCTTAAAATGTTCGGCTTCTTTGGCTTAAGGACAAGCTTGTTGAAACCCAGAGGGCACGACGTCTGAGTCCTTCTTACCCTAAGGGTCCATGTACCCATATAGAGATACATGAGCCCCAAAGTATCTATATAGGGACTACATTGAGGCCAATGTATATGCTATATGAGTACATGGACCCTTAGGGTTATTTGTCTGCCTCTGAGCATCATGAAGTAGACCTTTGTATTGTCAATGTACGTCAGGACCTCAGCGTGCTTTGCGCAGTGAGGGTCCACGGCGTAGGCGGTGCATTGAAGGCTTTAGGATAGGAGGGGTCTGTGCAAGCTACAATGTCAACCTCTAGAGGAAGGGGCACGAACAAATGGCCTAGCCTCAACGGTCTGGGATGCCCTGGCGACATTGATTCCGAGTTGACTTGGGAGCATCAGCGAAGCAGAGAACGGCAGGGGTATGGCACCCCGGTTTTCCAACAACTCAACCCGTACTCGTACCTGTTCCCACACATGAATCCTTGCTAAAGACTTCATCCTGAGTTACTAAGTCTGCTAAGCCACTGGCCCTGAACACTGAACAGCCCCTTCCCCTCGGACCCGGAACCCTTCATGCACAATTGCTGCGACTGCCGCACCTCTTGCAAATCTTATTAGTGCAGGATGCTGCGTGCTTTAGGGCTTAGCAGCTCTGAAGCTTCAAATCCTCAACCCTGAACGGCGAGATCCATTCATTACCCTCGACTAGTCTTACCTGACAGCACCGCTCTAAACAAGAACCAGGCCTATATCCCTCAGCCTTTAGACATGGTAAAGCCCCGAACCCTGAAGCCCTCAACCTTAAAACTCGCTGGGGATAAAACAAAATCATCAAGAATCCACTTTAGTCCCAATGCTGGGCTATGCTACTGTTCACATACAGTTTTATGCTGTACCATACCACGCCATACTCAAGCCCAAAAAAATTCAAACTGACCCCCATATTCACCTGGAAGCCCTGCACCCCAAACGCTATATGGGTAGTTCTCTGAATTAGGGTCTCTTTTTAAGTCTCTCAGATAATATAGAACCCTTATATAAAGGCCCTAAAGGGAACCTTAATTTAGAGAACTACCTATATATATATATATATATATAAACCCAGATGCTCGATCCTGGAGATCTGGAGAAAGATGAACCAAGGACGACATGGCCTCCGCAAGGAGGGCTCTGGGTGTAGAGTTTTTAGGGTTTAGGGTTTAGGACGTACAGTCCCCAAGGGTCCCATGTACTGTTATGGGGGATACTTCCCTGGATCCTAATAGTAATTCCTAATATGGAAACCATACATTCTACTATACAGGTACATAGGACTCTTTGGGAGTGAACCCCAGAAAGTTGGAACATGGGTTTAGGAGGATTCGTGCTAGGATCCCTTCTACTTTACCTTAAGGGCATGAGGAGAATGAAGTTCCAACTTTCTGGCTTCTACTATAGAGGGGTTTAGGGTTTAGGGTGTATAGTTTTGGGCTTGGGTTTTTTAGCTTGGGGCTTGGGTCAGAGTTTAGACTTTTGGCTTTACATGTGTTGCATGTATCATTTAAGGAACCGAAACTCGACAGGCTTGTAGGGATTTCGGTTGGGAATTGGTAACTCTAGGGTCTCGGATGTAAGCTTTAGGGTATAGTATATGATCTAGGATAAAGTTAAGGGGCTTGATTTTGAGTTTGGAGTTCGGGGTCTTCAGAATAGTAAAGAATACTCACAGTAGTACTAGAATATGCAATGCTACGAATAGTGATGTTCATCAACACCGGCATCACAACTCTAACCATACTTACTTATCCTTACCGTCATGCTCACCGTGCTAGAAGGACTCTGGTTCTCATTACAAAAACGTCTAGCCCTCACGATCCATGTGCAGTTTCCTGGAGAAAACACCGTATCACTTAAATGCCTCAGCGATCGAATGTCAGTAGTACGGCATTCATAAGTCGATATCGCGACAACGCCCTTGCTCTTCGCACTGCGCTCAGAACCTGGACTTCAGCAAGTATATACTCGTTTAAAACACCCCCAAAAAGGCTCAAAGCCAGGGCTTTTAGGGTCCTGCAAGTATACACTCTGTACCGAAGCCCTAGTTAGGAAGTGGGTCATACAGAGTTCCAGGTCAGTCGCTCCAAAGCTCGAGCTCCACAAAGCCACCGAAGCTTTCGGGGCTTTGAGGCTTCGCATATGGGAGTTTCCGAAAATTAGGGGTACCTTTTTGGGGGGTCCTTATAATAAGGATCCTACTAGGTCCCCTATTTTCGGAAACTCACATGTAACATTTACCTACTCCTTCTCCGCCTTCTTCTGTGACTACCCACGGCACACAACCACTGCCACCCCAAACAAGGACACGACAAGCACCACAACGACGACCGTTCCCGTAATTGCTGTTGATATGCCATGCGCTAAGAGCTGACGTGAAGTTTCTGAGCTTGGCCGTGGCATTAGTACAACGCCGGCCACGACGATGACAGCGATGACCCTGAATATGCATATGAGTATGACGACGGAGATGAGAGCTGAAGGTGATCGTGCTAAGGGTTGTGTTGATGCATGCAACGGTGACGACAAGAGCGTTGCTAGTATTGCAACGATAGTTCGTCCCAAATGCCACCGACACCGCACTCGTGCATGCAGGCTCTGTTTTGTCTCGCAGACGACTCAAGCGATTCTAGGAAGGCTTTGTCCTCATAGAGGTTCTCCCGGACTCCAAGCAGCCTCCAGCATCAGATGCGAGTCGTGGTGTGTCGAGTTGAGGCAGTTTAAGGCTTAGAGGCTTAGAGCTTTAAGTTCAGCGTCTGGGTTTGTAGAAGTATGCAAGGCAATTTCGGCTCCTCCATATCCGAACATACATGATTGCATGATTGTGCCTGTCCCGCTGTCCGAAACTGCTGTCGCACTGTAGTAGCGAACGATGGCGTGGTGCAAACAAGCAAAGAATGCTTGAACTGGTGGTATTCATGACGGCAGTGAAGCAACCAATCCAAGTTGCGGTGTCATTCTACCGAAGTGACCGAATATTTGTGACAGGACTGCTTACTTGCATGTTCGCAGCAACATGGTGATCCTTGTGGTAGCGACTCCTGTCACAACCGACAAACGGCAGAAAGCACACCAGCAAACACAACGCTCACAATGGCAGTGGAAGTACATGGAGCAACAAAGATGTATAAACCTCTAGACAAACTAAGATTGCGAAGGATAGGAGTGATCGTTCATGCTTGTCATTGCTGCTGCTACAAGGAGTCCCAACCACCCCTCCTCAAACTACTACAGGTTCTCATGACGATTATCGTAAAGACAAAGCTAACGGTAACACTTCTGGCTGAGGCCTACAGTCACCTCCACTATAGGGGTCGGAGAGGTATCTCATGAGGGTCCGATAATGAGACCATATAAAACCGGCAACGAACCCAGGTAAAGCCTCACCACGACCTGCCTAAATCTGAACAGAAGGCCTGCAAAGACCCCTTGGACAAACACCTTCTGCTTTCCACTAAACCATGAACCCTGAAACCCTAAATCCTAAAACCCAAAGCCTTAAACCCCCAACATTTAACACAGCACCCGCCTCGCGGAGCTCTCCGAGCCGGCATCGCGCAGCTCCAGCAATGCGAGCGCGTGGGCCAAGTTGCGGATGCCCTGCTTGGACAAGGCCCACCTGGGAAGTTGGTCCTATGAGTACTGATACTACTACTATGCTTACTACTACTGCAAGCAATATTTTTTAGTACGGTTATCATGGTGATTAAGTTTATGCTGATCCGCATTTCCATTTTGTTTCTTCACGGGAATTTTCTGGCTTTAGGGCTTTCCCCATGTTGAAGAGCGGTGCTTATGCTTGCTTCCAGGTTCGAGGCTGTAAAGCGGGTTCGGACAAGGCAATGCCCAGTAGCTTCAGGGCCTTGGGGCTGTCCGATCTGCTTGATGACTTGAGGGAGCTTGGGGTGTGCTTCAGGGGTTTTGAGCGCCCCGCTCAGACTTGCATCCTTCCCTGTTCTTGGATTGAGGCCACATGGGCTTGCGATGCTTGCTTAGTCTTCAGCTTCGGAGATTCTTGAATGACACGGACGACCTAAGGGTTAAAGGCTAGGGGATAGGGGGTAAGTTTGTGGGTTTAGGGCTTCAGGTTTAGGGCGGGAGATTGGGCTGTAAGGTTGAGGGTTCCAGGCAGAAGTATCTTTGGCGGTTCCAAGCGTCTGGTAGCAGATGAGCTCCACCTGGCTCGCAGCTGGCACAAAGTCCCGGGCATCCTGTCTGCGTACTGCTGCTGAAACTGATCATGACTATATAATATTTTAAAGTTTACGGAGTTCTCTGGTTTGGGGTTGAGGCCTTTAGAGTACTTTAGGGTCTGGGTGTGAAGACATAAGCAGAAGCAGATTGTGCCAACTTGCTACAGTACAGTGATGGCGACGGTGCTGAATTGGGGGAGGACGATGATGATGACGATGATGGTGATGCTGGTACTGAGGATGGTGATGCTGATCTTCATCATCATAAGAATGCTGCTGATCGAATATACGGGCCTGAATAGTAGACTAGGGTGTCGTGGGACAGTATACGACAACTAAACAGGGGCTGTAGGTAAAAACTCTTGTTAATTTTTGGGAGACGTCGACCTCAACCTTAATCCCAAAGCTCTATAAAGCCCAAACCAAGGAAAAGGAGTCCTTCAATGCACCACCGGCCACTGTGACATCGGCTGGTTGGCTTCCGAGGTAGCGCTGGAGACGCTGAGGCATCTCCTCGCAAGGAGAAGGGTTTAGGCTTCGAAAGGTTTCCGGGGTTTGGGCTGTCTAGAGTTTTTTTGGGGTTTAGGCTGTTTAGGGTTGTTAAGGGTTTAGTTCATCCTCGTGTGTTTTGAGGGTTTAAGCCCCTTTGGGCTTTTTTGGATTTAAGCTTGCTATGCTTTAAGGTTTAACGTTCTAAGGTTCAGGGTTTAAGCTTTTTAGGATTTTAAGGTTTAGGGCGCAGACTTTCAGGGTTTAGGGCGTCGGGTTCAGGGTTTGGGATCGTAGGGTTGAGGACCTCAGCCTCCGGATTCTTGCCTTCAGGGTTGCCGGTTTAACCTAAAGGGAACTCCAGAAAGTTGGAATATGGATTAACGGTAGGATCCCCTATAATTTACCTTAAAGGGGTTACGATAATGATATTCCAACTTTCTGGCTTCTACTGCAATGACAATACATGTCTCGGTTTTCTTCAAGCTCTATACTGGGGCTCTTGGAATCTACCCTCTCCTTCGGAGTTCCTTATCTGCGACTTGAAGTAACCAAGGCGAACAACAACTTGCATTCAATGGCTCCTTTCAGGAATAGGTCCCAGAACAAGCATTAAAGTATGGTGCTCAATCGAAGCTACGTCAGGTCATGCTGTCTCGAGCAAGTACCATTAGGGCCTTGATGAGCAACTAGAATAGGGCTTGGGGGCTCTACTATCATGTAACTATGGAGTACTATTCCGACCCTTCAACTACCTTCGAGTTTGGGGTTTTTGAGTATCGGGTCAGGCTTCGAGGGGTTGAGCGTAGGAGGTCATAATGGGGAGTTCAAGCCCTATACTAAACTAAACCCTAAACCCTGAACCCGAAGAGGGGTTTGCTTGGGAGCATGGAGTTTGCGGTTTAAGGCTTGACAACAAATCCTTGGAGGCGATCCCATGGCCCCCGAACCGGAAAACCTCATGGCTCTGTCCTCTTAGAGACTTGCAGATGCCTAGAGTGCAGAGCATCTTGGTTTTAGAAACCCCAGAAAAAACAAACTGTAGCTGAAAAGCCTGGCCCTCACTAGCACCCGCAGAACGGAGAAAGTCCCAAATCCGAAGTTCCGCGAGCGGCTCCTCGATATTCGGCGCGTAGGTCACAAGCCACAACCGGCCGCCTGGCTTCAGCCAATTCGGGCAGCCGGCCACGATGGTCTCAAGCACCTGCCAAAGAAAGTGATCGTAACCCCTATAGTAACCCTTATAAAGTAACCTGAATGCACCCTGAACCCTACACTCCACGTCGTGATTGGGAGTGCTAGCCCATTATTCTTCTGGATAGCAGTGCAGCTGGTGGTGCGTAATTGCTGGCAGCATAAACCTCAACCCTGGGCCTCAACCCCTCACGCCGATGTGGTAGGTTTCGAAGAACTTTGAAGTTCTGAGCATATGCTTCATGTAACCACGGTCGGCTTGCTTGAAATCCCTGCTATATGTTCTTGGTTCAGTAGAGAATCAACCCCTCAACGGCCTTAGTCATGAACCCTAGTGAAACCCTAAGCCCCCAAATTTAATCCTAGAGCGTAAACCCCAAACCCAAGGCACATGCAGTAACGCACTATCAGTCCCGGAGATTAAGCAAGCGTGGTGCTTGAACAAACCAAAACAGTATCTCCATATAGTTCCGTTGTAATACTACCACACTATACCCCAATGCCCTATTCCAATTAGGAAGATGCCCTATTCTACACCCTGAAGGATCTCTGGGGCTCAAGATAAGCCTCGAACCTTTTTATAGTAAACCGCACTTAGTAATACAGTGGAAGCCCAAAAGTTGGAAACCCAATAGCCTCAAGCCTCAAGAGTCATGTATAAGGGATCCCAGCACTGTTTGACCTTTATCCGGTTTCCAACTTTATGGGGTTTACTGTACTCACAACCCGATTAAACAAAACACATGTGCTTCAAAGCTCCTGGTTCACCACCAAGACACGGAGCGCCCTCTTGTCAGAACCCGGTAAAGCCCATCTAATACCCGACAAGTCCTAGAACAAACAAGCAGGCCAATCTTTGTGGAAAATGAAAAACACAACTTAAAGCAGCTTCTTTAAAGAACTGCAATCCCTTCTCGTCAGAACCGGGGAAGTTTGAAACCCGGGATCCTGTTTGTAAGCAACAGAAAACCTGTTCCGAACAGACGTTAGAAACCAAAACTAAGAATCCGTTCTTGCTGGAGACAGAAAAACCTATTGAAACAGCCTAAATACTAAACAGCGACAAAAGAAACCACTTCTTGTCAGAAACAGAACAAAAGCCTGTTGAGAACAGCGCCCTCTTGTCAGAACAACAAATTTCTCCAACACAGCCTATCGTAAGAAACCGAAACAAAAACTGCAAGCAGCCTATTTCAGAACCGAAGCCAGGAATTTCAACAGCCTAAGACTTGAACCTGCCCAAAGCCTAAACCCTAAATTCATAAAACCCTAAACCCTAAATTACCCTAAAACCAAAACCCTAAACCCTAAAACTTTAAGCTTCAAAGCACCTCCTCTCCTGAAGCGCCACCATTGCCGTAGGCAGCGACAGCCTTTTATTTAGGATTTGGGTGGTTGTCAAAATGAGGGTCCCTTTTTGGGTACCCTAAATAGGTGCCGTATCACGTTTAGGAGCTTTTGGAGGTTAGGCTTCAGGGTCGAGGGACTTGTTACAGTGTCTGTATCCACATCACATTTCTGTTTTGCGTTGTTGTTCGAAGTCAGGCTCCGCCTCTCAAAGCCAACATTCCTGCTTGAGGATCCTCTTCCTCCTCATCCTCCTACTAATACTACCATCACCAACATCATCATCGTTCTATCGTCATCATCATCATCGTCATCGAAGTGATCGTCATCACCTTCATCACCATCATCCTCATAGTGATGACAGCAAGCATATTGAATGGCATTGCGAGTGCTACTAGTATTTCAACATAACAGCAACAACTTATGGAAAAAACTCCTGGCGTCTCTAGGTTCTGACTGTTTCTGTGTTTCATGAGCAGGGAACTGTGTTTGAGGTTTAGGGTTTAGGGTTTTAGGGGTTAGGGTTTAGGGGTTTGGGGTTTAGGGTTTGGGGTTTAGGGCCCATTCCCCGAATCCTAGGAGGCCGCAAGAGACCATCAAGGCCTTCAGAGTCAATGAACGGACCCTGAGCTTGTATGGCGGCCTTACTTGTTAATCCGAACAATCAAAAGTATAATCAAGAGGCCCAGGGAATTTAATTACATTAACCTTCAATCCCACAAAAAAAACCAGGGGCAGGAGCAAATTCAGAGCAAATTCACTCCAACCATATACTTTGCCTTTTACTTTCAGTTCAACCACCGATAAGGTTTCGGGGTGTTGGAGAGGAGATCAATCTTTGATAAACCTAAGTCCAAGAAAATACCATTCATGATGGTCAGGCACAAGAAAACTCGGAACCTTCCCAGGGAACCCCGAATCATTGCACGGCCTGTGATGCGATGTTGTCCGGGTTGGGCAAGAAAGGCGGATTGGACAAGATGAGGTCGAACTTCTCCTCACTTCATCTCACGTCCGAGCCGTTTCGGGCAAGCTGTCGGCTTTGGGTTCGATGCTGTAGGCATGCACAGAACCCCTATTCAAATCGTAATGGTTGCAGAGCCCGAAAGCCCCGAATCTCAAAGCCCTATTGACGATGGAACTCTGAGCGTCGACTCTGAATCAGCATGGGGTCTTCTGACTAGCTGCAGCTGTTGAGTCTGGCGTTAGGGCAGGATGCTCACATATAAACGCCGTTTGAGGTTTAAGGCATCGGGACGCTAACGCATGTTTGGGATCGGTGCTCCGGGCCGACACAGAGTGGAGAGCACTTTCTCCCAGGCTCGGATATCTTTTCACGTGCGATCCCTGAGCAAACCTCCACGATTTCACACAGCTATGATCATCGGTTGACCTGCTTCTGACTCAATCCTAAACGTAAAGACTTCAAAACCAAGGAATTGAGGAATATGCCTTGCATGGCATGAAGACATGAAGGATGCATCTATAACTCAAGGTAGTCCTTAAACAAGGTCGTGTTGAGTCTCTGAGAACCGCCTAAATGCCAAATCCTATAACGGCCTCTGCGGCAGGTAGGGCGTCGAAGGTATTTCCCAGGTGCAAGCGGCAGCGTTCCGTGTCAAGGCCTCAGCGTTCAGGCTACTTTTTCCTTGGCCGTTCGGGGCTTGAAGGGTTTACGACATACCTCGGTTTCGTGGTTAAGGGCTGGTAGGGCTTGAGGCTTACCATCGCAGCTTCTGCCAATCTTTTCGTGTTTGAGGAGGCCAGGTTCCACACGGAAACACCACTCAGGAGACCCAGAACCCCAAATGGGATTCGCGTCCACAAGAAGCCTGCTGTGCGGCTGTCCCTTGCATCTTGAGCCCTTGTATTTCTCTTAAGCCCCAATAAAGAAACACAAGGGGCTTTGAACAATTAGATTAAGTGCTGATGGGGAGACGCTTATTGAGTTAGCCACGAACTAAGAGGGGTAGCACTATCACTTGAGACCCAACCGCCTTTCGTTTCGATTTTCTGGCTCCCGGCAGAAGACTTCGCGGGGTTTTACACTGCAGCACTTCAGCCTGGTGCTTCCAAAAACGAGCGTCCAAGGGTCCATGCAGAGCAAAAGTCCCCAGACCCGAAACGGTTTCAAATCCGAGGCTCCGTTTATGGCCAAGTTGAAGTGCACGAAGTGGATGGCACGGGGATTCCTTCCAGGACGTCCCCGGAATTTTCTCCAAGGGTAGCTGAGGGCTACTCCAAATAGGGCGTAGCATTACTCCTTTCGATTCTTGGGGTCCCTGTAATGGCAGCGCATTCGGAAGGCTGATCTGGGTCGTGGTCGGAATAGTATGGAAAAATTCAACTTCTAGTTTCTAGTCCTTCCTGGGTCTAAGCACCCATAAGCACGTAATATGCTACAAAACGATGACAAAGTGGTGCAATAGAACTGCCTAAGTACAGAGACTTGGGTTTGGTGGGGTGTAGACTCGGAGGTTTTGGGGCCTGCAGACTTGAATTGCACAAAGGAGTCCTCATACGACTGAAACCGTAGGGGTGTATACACATACACATATATAGACACCTACATACATACGTGCAGGCAGACAGGCAGACAGACAGACCAACAGACAGACAGAATTACATACATACATACCTGTGTATGTATATATAATATATATATATATATATATACATATTATACATATATGTACACATGGCGGTTCTGATCTCATGTGCTGGGCGGGGACTGTGGACCTTCTTGGTGCTACTAGGGCTGGGAGTCGAAATTCCGGGAGTTGATGGCTTAGGTTTCAGCCTGGGGCTTAAGACTTGATTAGGGCTTATGTTCAGGTCTCGGGTTGAGGTTTAGGAGTTAGGCTTTAGGGTTGCCCCATCTTACACTTTTGGGCTTCCTAGTCCTTCTTTCTGGCCAGCTATGCTAAAGATGAACTGTGTACGATGCAGGAGCTACAGACATCAGGCCTTTACGTATGTGCAGGTAGTGTTCATGTATACATATACATACCTACATACATACCTGCATACACACATACATACGTAATTACATAATTACATACATGCATACACACGTACCTGTGCATACATTCGCATACATACCTGCCTACCTACCTACCTAATTACACACGTACATACATAGTGGTTGAATGAATGAAGGAACAATGCATGTATGAGTGCATGCATGGGTAGATAAACTCACAAGTGCAACAATAAACAAACCAATAATTCATAAACTACGTAAGTACATCAACAGACACAGATGAATAATCGCCAGGTGCATAAACACGGCCATGAATAACAAGAAGAGTATGCCTGTACTGTACACATATATATCTATATGTAACTGATACAGCTATAATTGATATATATATATATATATATATATATATATAAATATATGTGTGTGTATGTGTGTGTGTGTGTGTGCATGCAACTGCTTCTATATATATATACACAAGCATATTCACATCTACTGCTTGTGCATATGCACACACCCACAGGAGGTTGCGGATCTTGAACTGTCTGAGTGAGCTGTACCTACATTGCATTATAGACATGTAAACTTATAAACGCACGTCCGCTTCGATTATAAGTAAACAAGCAAGATCTAGTAAACAATATGTGTATTATTATATACATGGTACGTATATTGTGTATGTTCTGCAAATTGCCTGCAACACTGTCGCTACCTCTCATCTGGCAGCTGCGAGCGCTCAACCGAATCCAGAGGGCCCCAACCCTAACCCTCAGCCCAAATCCCATAAGCAGTATCCAAGGAGCACGTCTACGAAGGTCACATCTCGGGCACCACGACGCAAGGCAGACAGGCCCTGCCAGCTTCATCATAGCTTCGTATAGGATGAAAAAACTGGTAGCACTGGGTTCGGGAAGGGAAGCATAGACATCGCACCCCTCGTGCGAAAAGTCGTGCACCCGACAAAATAGGTGTAAAACCTGTGGCTCTGATAGGGCTATACTCCCGAGGCCCAGAACCCCAAACCCAACCCAAAGCTTACAAGTCTACCACCCCTCGGGTTAAGGGATCACGAAGTTTACCTACTCAGCGACTTCGAAATTTGGCTCATATAGGCTTCGTGCCTTCTTCCACACGCCTAGGTACACGGTCAGAAGACCTTATGAACTTTAGGGTGTGGGTTGAGATTCTACTGTAACTACAATAAGGATACCCCCAAAATAGTATAGGTAATTCTAACGCCCCCTTATATTTGAACGGTGGTTGGCCTTTAAGTTTCTAACCTCCAGGCCCAGACGAAGGGATTTCCGGCTTTCGAGTTCGTGCTTCGGAAATGTGAGGGACAACTCAGAAGCTGGGATGCCCAGTAACCTAGGAATAGAAAGGGCTCCCTTTTTTATATAGGGTAACTTTATAAGGAACCTAGGACTACAAAAAGGGAATATGGGTACTACTGGGCATCCTAGGAAGCTGCGTAGTCGTGACACCTCTCCTCTAGATCTAGGTCAGGTCCAGGCACCAGCCTCCAAGAGGCCTGAGGTTGACATCGGGGTCGGCACAAAACAATGACAGTTCAATTTCCCGATGTAAGGCTTACGAAAAAAACCCCAAGCGCCGTCTAAATTCGAAGCCCCTAAGTCTGAAGTTCAACGTAAAGCCCAGGATCACGGTTCAGAGAGCTTCCAAGGTTTCAACCCTGTGGAAAGATCCAAAGCTTCGCCTGCACACCGCCGCCACAGCACATATCGAGCACCTGGGAGACATGCTTTAAGGTCTAGAGTTCGGCGTCCTCCGGCTTTGGACTAAGACCGTGAGGCTTCACAAGAAAGTTAGCAGAAACAGAAGCAACAAGTGCTACTTGATGCAGGCAGAATGTCAGGAAAAGGCATGCACATAGGCGGAATGGGCAGTTGTAGTAGTTGTCGTAGTAGTCGGCGCAGTCGTAGTAGTATGTAGTTGTAGCGGTCGCAGTAGCAGCAGCGGCAGTAGCAGCAGCGGTAGCGGTAGTAGTAGCAGTAGCAGTAGGAGTAGTGGTAGTAGTAGCAGCAATAGTAGTAGTAGTAGTAGTAGTAGTAGTAGTAGTAGTAGTAGTAGTAGTAGTAGTAGTCGTGGTGGTGGTGGTGGTGGTGGTAGTAGTAGTAGTAGCAGTAGCAGTAGCAGTAGCAGTAGCAGTCGCAGTATCAGTAGTAGCTTAGATTAAAAGCAATACGAATATCCTCAGATTCATGGGCTTCACAACAATATTTAGAATAGTATATCGACATCGACTCGGTATCGTCACCAGACCGTATCCCCATCGCAGAAAACTACATCGAATAGATTAGACACCGGTATCGGGGGTCAAGGACGGGTATCGAACTGCACCGAACCACCAACAGAAATACCTAGCAATATTGTACCGCATGCAATCGCTAACAACCGCAAACCTATCGAACCGAGGTATTACAAACATGATCTTTTACACTCGATCAATATGCCTTGGCTCCAAAGTTAAGGTTGTTAAAACACTTGTTTATGAAATGCAGCTCATGCAAAACATTGAATGTAACGGGTGTGAGCGGTGAGCGAAGCATCTGCAGCGGCACATCAAAGATTTGCCCACAGGCCCCAGGGTTAGCCCCGAGGCAGCATGCAACTACTACAGCAACCAACTGGGAGTTTCCGAAAATTAGGGGTAATTACCTTGTTTTGGGGTCCTTATAATAAGGATCCTGCTAATTTAGGGTACTATATTGGGTCCCCTATTTTCGGAAACTCCCAACTCGAACCAGCCAATCCCCCGGAAACGCGGCGAGGCGCTAAAACTCCGAAGGACACAACCTGTTGTTCTGCATGCGGTCTGCGTCTCATCGACTCAACAACACTTTTCATTATTGTAGTGGTGGAACCCTGGTGGAAGTTGTCATCAGTCACTACCACCATCACCAAGTGACGATTCACCATCATCGCCCCGATCATAGCCACCCACCGCCTGCTGTGCAGAAGAATGCCACGACATTTGGTGCGGCATATCTTCCTGTGGCATTCTTCAAAACTGAATCCGGGCATTATTTCGCGTTGATTGTGGCGCAGCAGGACCCAAACAGAATGTGCTTCATGTCCGCCCGAACCACAGAATGAAACGTCAACGACAATCACCGAGGTTCGATTATCTCACGGTCCCAGTCGCGCTCAGCTCTTTCACTGCAGGAGCAACGTCCAAGAGGGCCAGGGAATCATCTGACAAGTACCTGCCATTCCAGCGAACGCTCCCCAACTGTGAACTTGACAATGTGCATTCGATATGTTGAAGGCCTGAACACAGAGCTTGTATCTTTAATGAGCGTTGCAAACTCTTCAACATGTCCCTCACAAACTGAAAATCCTGCATGCTGGGGCTCGTCGAATGACAACCCCAATTCCTGGAAATTTCCACAGTTACCGCATCGACGTTTCTAAAAGCTTCAAGATAGTCCAGAGACCTTCAACAACCAAAATGGCCACTCTTTACGTGCTCCAGAACGCACAATGGGCACATGACGGGCTCAAAGCCTCTGTAGGGCCAGTCCTGCTCGGTTTCGGAGAAAAGTCGTTGTACAGTTATCGACGAAAGCGTGCACACATTCAGAGACCATGTTGTCCTTTAGGTAAACTCGGCTCAAGTCCGATACAACACTTTACAACGCTGCCGAATCCCTTCGGGTTCTCGCTCTTGTCCTAGGTCTCGCACTCGAAAACAAGAAGAAAATCCAAGTACGTAATGTAGACCACCAGAAGTTCCACGTTTCCAACTCTAGAGAACTCATTCCGTAATAACGGTCCAGGAGTAACCGAAACCTCGAGTATGGGATCCCTATAATTACATAAACCCGAAGAGCCTGACAATACATAGATTGTACACATACCATTCTTTATGCACGCCCTACGAGTGCCCGACGCGTCCCTTCCTGGGCATCCGTTGCAACGAGAAGGTCGGGTAGCGGCCAGATCCTGTCTTACCCTAGGCTTCCAGGGACCTTATTATTATGTCTTTAAGGGGTCTGGGGCCCCAATTACAGTAGAAGCCAGAAAGTTGGAACATAGTTGTCCTCGTACCCTTAAGGTAAACTATAAGGGATCCTAGCACTAATCCTCCTAAAGCCATGTTCCAACTTTCTGGCTTCTACTATATAAGGTCCTTGGAAGCATAACGTTAATAAGATTTAGGACAACCTAGAGTTTAGGGTTTTAGGGTTTAAGGTTTAGGGTTATAAGATGCAAGACAACCTAGGGTTTTAGGGTTTAAGGTTTAAGGTTATAAGATTCAGGACAACATAGGGTTTAGGGTGTACAGGGTCTAGATAAAGACTTAAGAGAATCTTCGTGCGGATTGGGGTTTAGGGTTCAGTGAGAGGTTCAGGCTTGAGTGCGTCTGCGACAATAAGACTATCGCAATGATAAGTAACACTGTCATCACCAGGGAAGAGATGATTCAGCTCAAACGTCTGCGGTATGGACACTGTCCGGATGTTGCTGAAGCTTTGACAGCGCGCCCGAAGAGCAGGATCAGACAAGGCCTGAGCAAATCCAACAAGCTTAGGGTCCAGGGTCTGCCAGGACTCCCCAAGTGCCCTTTCATGGAGCATTTCCCTCTAATAATCTAATAGAGGCTAGCTGGTGGGGGTCTAGGTATCACTGTTCAGTGTTCAGGGTCAGGGCAGTGTTCAGGGTTCAGGGCTAAGCCCTGAACCCTAAGCGACTCAACACCTAAACCCAGGAGTGCGTGGCCATGAAATTTTTCGTCAGGGTGAAGGTACGTAAGCTTTAGGTCTTTAGTGTTCGGGGTTGGCTCGGGTGTAAACTCGCCTTGCTTAGTTAGTGATACCTCGCTACTCGTTATACCTGTCGTGCTTCCAAGTTCTGCGAATACAAAGTCTTACAAGTTTGAGTTAGCAGTTAAGACATCAAGAATGACCAACAATGATTACCTAAACCTAGGCACATGCATCTATGCGGGGTGCATGTGCCAACTCACCTGCCTACCTACTAACCTATCCACCAGCGTCTTTACACCTCGAGTAGCCTTGGTGTCGGAGCTTGATCGTATCTCCTAGTATACCGTTGGGGTTTTAACAGGTAGAACGGGGCTTCGGAGTTTATACATAATACACTGTACTACTATATTTACAACAAGGAACCCTAGGAATAGCATGTTGTTAAGTCGTTAGACTAACGCCAAACCCCAAATCCTCAGACCAAGAGAACCTAAACCCAAAGACACACAAATTCCCAAAACATATGACCAAGGGACTGCAACGGCATCGCTCGGAGAAAGAAGCCTGGAAATTGGCCAGTGTGAGGCAACTCACTCGCTCCGAAGCGATCCCTATATAATCCCCAGTAGTAGGTCCCCAGAATCCATTCCCCCATTCCCTACTACGCAGCAGGGAGTAGAAGGGCTTTCCGAAGTCTTCATAAAAGCATCCTGGGGGAGCTTCCTCTTCGGGTTTGCTGGCTTAATATCGGGGCCTTATAAGAGTAGGGTTACTTTACAGGGGTCTATAGGGGCTACAACAAGAGCCAGGATAAGGACTCTGTATAGGGGCCTTAATAATTAGAATGGGATTTTGGGGCCCATTATACTTTAATCATGATAAGGAACACCGAAATAGCATCGGTAAATGCATCGGTCTTTATGCAGGCCCGTATATTCGGCTATAAGGGTTGTCCGCTGCGGGGCTTTAGGCCTGTCATTTTTAGGATATGGCACTTGAAGTGTTTAGGACAGGTGTCATAATCCTTAGAAGGGCTTTATTTCTGTTTCGCAGGTTGGAGCTTCAAGGGTTAGGCATTTAAAGGCTTTAGGACTTAGTGACTTGATTAACACGTTACCGTGCCTGTCCTCGCTTCTTTTCGTTTGCAGTTCTGTTGGAATTTCCCTTCCGTTTACTTCCGTTTGGAGCTTCGGATGGGATTTCTCGCCCCTTTACACTTCGCTTTTTGGATTTTGGGGATGCCGGGTGTTTCGTTCCTGGTTCCGTTGTGGGAAAGCTGAAAGGAAACGACATCGACAACGGAACCCCAAACGGAAGCGAAGACGGAAGGCAGCGGCGAAACGGAAACCTAAACGGAAGAGCTGACGTCACAATGCTGGCATGCTAGGGACCGCGACCCCAAACCGGACTGCAAACCCTAAACCCTCATGGGTTCTGGATTTGCCCTGAAAGGACTTCCCTGAATTGTTGGCCCGGCAACTGGTAGCCGTCTTGTACAACTGTCACAGCTTGAAGCCGCAGCAACCTCATCTGAAGGGTATTCTGCTCTTCAGCGTCATGGGTGATAGCTTCTACTTGGCGCACCAAGTCTCAATATGGTTCGGGGTGTAGGGTTACAGGGTTGTGGGGTACCTTAAAACCCCTGACCTGAGGGTGTGTGCATGTGTGTATGCGCTCGCGAAGCCAATGTCTTTGAATCTTTGGGCCCTTCGAGCTCTCTTACAACCTAAAGCCAACTTGACAGTCTCAGAAAATGGGAACCCCAAGATAGTGATTCTTCTTACTCTCATCTTTATTGCGACTAATACTTTCTAATGCTGCTATGAGTATCATTATTATGATCTTCTTCTGGATCTTCCAACTTAATCTACCGATACTATCATTGCTACTGTTATTGCTCTAGCCCGAAAATGAGGAACCCTAGTTTCGTGTCATTGGCCAAACTGAGAAGTCTTCAAGTCCAGCAATATGGATCTCCAAATCTGCAAAGCCCGCGATAACCTTAGGGTTGAGGCTTTATTAGGGGTTAGGAGTTTGGGGGATTATAGGTTAGGGGTTTGGGGGTTTCGGGTTTAGGCATAGAACCGTAGGGAATGGTATTGTTGGCTATTTCGGCCCCGATGCCGATGACAGAGAAACAACAAGCTTCCCTGCCAAGCCGCAGTTCCGCGGCAGCACCGGCAACAGAAGAAAAACTATCCAGGGACAGCTTTCCTCAGTCATGATTGAGGGAATCTGCTGCTGCTGCTACTACTCTACCGCCATTCTACTACTGTACTACTATTGTACTACTCTACTACTGTACTACTACTGTGCTACTACCACTGCTGACACTACTACCACCACTACTTCCACTACTGCGACTACTACTACTACGACTACCACCACCACCACGAAGACGACTACTACTACGACTACCACCACCACGAACACGAACTCGAACACGACCACCATCACGACCACGACCACGACCACAACCACGACTACCACTGCTGCTGCTGCTACTACTGCTACTACTACTACTGCTGCTGCTGCTACTACTACTACTACTACCACCACGACGACGACTACTACTACTACTAGACTACTACTACTACTACTACTACTACTACTACTACTACTACTACTACTACTACTACTACTACTACTACTACTATTAGTAGTAGTAGTTGATTGCGAGTTGCCTGCTAAAGAAGACATTGGCATTGGATTTGGGCAAACACAGATGCGTCCGCCATTCTTCTCTTAATGCAGCGCCAAGCTAGGGTTCGGGGTTTAGCTTTAGGGGTCATACTTTGCAAGCGAAGGGCAAGCTTAAAGCCACAGCTGCCTTGATGATTCATCTGCCTACGCGACCCAGAATCCAATACCCCAAACTCCAACCCTCAACATGAAATTCTACACCCGAACCCTCGGCCCTAAATCCAGTAGTATCATCATTGTCCCCTTAAATGCACCCCAAACCGAGTTCTCATGGCTAACCTCCCTACCCCAGACCCCACGTTCCAAACCTTCAATCCCAAATTCTAAACCCCGAAGGTTTAAGACTTTAAGACAAAGACGCACACCCCTGAAATCTAAACAAGCCCTATAGACCTTAAGCAGGCCGGCCCTAAATCAGAAAAGTACATTGTGATAAAAGGCAAAGAGCCCCGCAGTAGGAAGAGCACCGCAGTGTCAACCAAAACGGCATCCTCGGAGTCCTCAACTTGAGGATTTAGGACCTAGGGTTTAGGAGTTGGTTTAGGATTTGGAGGTTAGGACTTAAGAAAAGCCCTATCGTTCGTTGCGATAGTTTTCAAGTTGAAATCGCGAATCCGGAATTCTACGTCCTAGCGGGCGAGCAGTTCTTGGGCCAAGTTTGCACATGGTCTGCCGCAGGTGCGGCGCAGCCTAACAATTCCGACAGAAGCCGTGCAAATCCTGGCTTCGCAGAGCCAGTAGTAGTAATAGTGGTAGTAGTAGTAGTAGTAGTAGTAGTAGTAGTAGTAGTAGTAGTAGTAGTAGTAGTAGTAGTAGTAGTAGTAGTGGTAGTAGTAGTAGTAGTAGTAGTAGTAGTAGTAGTAGGAGTAGTAGTAGCAGTAGTGGGTAGTAGTAGTAGTAGTAGTAGTAGTAGTAGCAGCAGCAGTAGTACTAGTAGTAGTGGTAGTAGTAGTAGTAGTAGTAGTAGTAGTAGGAGTAGTAGTAGCAGTA